TGAACATATATGGCTATAAAAACGAAAGATTTTATAAAAAACGAAAGAGTTTATATATATTAAATCTTTATTATTATATTTTATATTTCCTAATATGTTAAATGAAAGATTTTAATCAGAATAAAAAAATAGTATATGAAAAGAGGTTTCAAAATTATTCCAATCTTTATCAATTTGAATTACCTGTAAAAAAAAAGAATAATATTTTATCAATAGCATAATTAATGCAAAATTATAGAGATCCATATATATCTAGAAATGGTTATATTTGAATTTTGAAAAAAAAAAGAAATTTTAAAATCATTAATATATTTCAATGAGTAATACGAAATATTTTGGATACAAAAAAAATAATTAAAATTTTAGGATAATTATTATAATTAACTAAAAATACTTTAATAACAATATTTTATCTTGAAATTATTAATCATCTAATCACTACTAATACAAAATCAGTCATAAAGAATATATTCCATAAGTTAGTTTAAATAAATTACCTTAAATTCTGAATTTTCCTTAAAATGTTCTAAATATTTTAATATGTGAATAACAAGAATATTATGGTCTTTTATTCAATATGAAGTATATTAATATTTTTATTTTATTTTTATAGGATACAAGTATATACAAATCTTTCAAACTCATATGTTCTTGTGTGATACATGTATATACATGATTTTCATGATTTTTCAATATCATATATTTTCATGATTTTTTTAAAATACACGGGTTTTTGCTGATTGGTTCGTCACCACATACATTGTGGGTATACAATTTGTTTAATAAACGTTCTTTTATTTAGTTTATAAAAATATTATATTTAATTTCCGAAAACACACTTTTCTCAAAGAATTGAAACCAAATATACATTTCGAAATAATGTTGATACTAAAATGAACGAAATAATAACACATACGACAAAACACGTTAAAATAAAATAAACCTGAAAATATTCTTTCGCGCTGTAGCGCGGATCTGAACCTAGCATACGTGACAAAGTACACATCCACGATAGTACATATTCTCATACTTGGCAAATTCAACACCAACAATCTATTTTAACAGTTAAAAGTTTACGTAATTCGAAAAAAAAACAAAAACCGACACTTTTCCCCCGCGCTGTAGCGCGGGTGCGGGCCTAGTTGCACATGAAATTAACTTACCCCATTTACAAAAGGTGTGACCCAAACTTCTCTAGCAAATATCACCATTGTTACTAGTTTGGTACACTGTTATTAGAACCACCTAGGGATAATTCTCGTGAAATCGAAAGCTGTATGGAACTTGGCATTATGACCAAAGCTTTCTCAATCTTCTTTCTTCATCTTCCTTGTTTACAGAATCCATTTAAGTGCAAATCATTAGCTTTAAGAAGATTGTTCCCACACCTAAAAGCTTGTCAAGACGACCCTGACCTCTTGGATTTGTGGTTACCGAGACCTTTGCAAACCCCATCCAACAACTCTCCTCCTTCCTGATGAGCAGATCAGTCCAGCGAGTATCTCGGCCATGGAACCCTATTTAACGTCACTTAATCTATTGACCGTGACCATTATTTCGTCCAGCGCTTCATACATGGATGAATTCTCGACAATGCGACATGGATCTTTTGTTAAACTACTTTAACTACCTTTGTGTAGAGTATGTCCTATCCCTTGTTATGTTGTTTTTACTTTGTGTTAAGCTTCATTACCCTTTTCCTATGGCTTGTATGAACTGTGTTTTCGAATGATTAATGGAAACAACTCGTTTGTCAAAAAAAAAAAAAACATAAAATAGTTAAATAATTTTGGAAGAAATTTAATATAGAAGGATTTTGTCTTTGATATGTGTATATAAACTTTAATTCTACTTACAGAGAAATGTTAAGTTTTACACATCGAAACATGTACGACCTTAGAGAATTAAAGTACGTTAGAAATAAAAAAATCTGAAAATTGGCAATATGAAAAAGGGAAATCGATAGAGAATAAAAGAGAGAAATACATTATAACTTATTCAATATTAATACTTCATTATTGATGATAAATGACATGAAAAACCATATATTAATTATTCCATAACTTGTGAAATTACTACTTATTCCTTTACTTAGAAGAGGAAGCATCTTCCTCCTCAATCGCTTTGCGTATTTTCTTCATCAAATCCTAAAAATTTTCAATAATCCAATTAGCATATTTAACTATCCACCAAAATTAAGAAAATAATAATAGCATATAATATGCATAAATTAGTTGCAATCTTATAAATATTTAAGAGCATTTAAATGGAAATATATACTATATTTTACCGCCAAATGTTCTTCAATTTCTGATTTTGCTTCTTTGATATCACGCATCTCAGCTAGAAGCTCCTTGCTATGCTCAGTCCCATCTCTTTTCTCATTAGAACTTCCATAAGTTTTGACCAGGTTGTTAAATGCTTTTCTTTCCCAATGCTATTTATTTTATATATAAAAAAATCTGATTATATATATATATATATATATATATATATATATTGTACATGAAAAAACTATAGAAGGATTTGGGGAAAACTCTTTATTATTGTGTTGTTTAATCTCTAAAGAATTGATACAATATATAGAGGCTAACTTATGTTTAACCTAATTAGAATAGGAAACAGATAAACATGAATAAGTAAATATTCTAAATTTCTTACTCCTTATCATACTTCTAGAATATTCTTCGACTTGGGCTTCACGGGTTCACTTCAATAGCGGACTTTGACGGTCCATAATAGTTAGTCTGCAAGATACACATCTTGCTCCCCAAGATATCTCCAATACTCCCCCGCACGACAAACGTGGTACACACAACGCAAACTTTGCAATCATAAAATGTAACACGTATGTCGTGGACAACTTGTCAAGGGTAGAGAAATCATGTCAACAACTCTTTAGGGTAAAAACTTCAATCTTCAAAATAGGGGTGGAACTTCAGCTCTTCTTTGGTCTTGGTAAAGGGAATAACAACATCCCGTGGGTGCAAATCATGCAAGTCCACAAACAGTTGTCCTAGTCTCAGACAGTTCACAAATCGGACTAATAACAATAACTGAAAACATGAGCATTCCAACAAACTCCCCTAATGATTAAACCATAACCAAACTTCCCCGTAATGGTAAAACTATTACCATACTTTTCTAAAATAAGAAAAGCAACAAGCTAAACAAAAAATCTGAAAAAAAATCTTAAC